ACACTCGTCTGGGTGACAGAGTAAGACTCCAACTCAGAAAAAAAAAAAAGAAAGAAAAGCTACTGATAGTAATTATTGCCAATGATAGAATTTCACCTTTTAAAAAAAAACCCCAAAAAACAGAATTTTGAGGGAAAAAAAATCTGTATCCATAATCCCCAATAAGTAAAAGATTTTTCTGACAAGATCAGTTCTATTAACAAAATTTTTAATCATTGCCCAACATGTTAATATTCAGAACTGAATAATTCAGTGAACCAGTGTTTTCCAACTGACCAATTCATGTTACAGTGTCATGCATAGGTAGAAGATCCATTCAAAATGGAAGACAGCCCCAGTGGATTTTAATGTAACAGACTACAAAAAAATCCTTGGATAAAATTTCAGATTTCATATTACCAACTATCCTTTAATAATACTAGTCACCAAGTTTTGATATCCACAATTACGTGAAGCTGCTAAAATACTCCTTTCCAAATACGCTTATGTGTGATGCCAGATTTCTTCAGATACTTCAACCATCATGCCATGCCACATTACAAAAGACTGAGTGCACAAGCAGATATGAGAATCCAGCCCAACATCAAAGGGCTTATAAAAATGAAAACCAGGGCTTCTTTTTACACTGAATTTTTTAGACTTGAAATGTAATTATTTTTCATAAAACAATTTTATACTAATATGTAATGGTTTTGTTACCTTTTATGCAAATTAAAACTATATATATAAAACAGTATATATATGACAGTATATATAGATTTATTTATTTATTTATATTCACAGGGATATTCAATTTTTAAGAGTATAAATGGGTCCCAAGACCAAAAAAGATTTGAGGACAGGCAGGTTAGGAAATTCAGATGAGTGAACACTGAACATGTATTTTTCTTTTACTAACTCATAAACTTTTTGTATTTCGAGGGCCACTAACTTACCTGAAAAAAACATATTTTGAAAAGGGAGTATTAAAAATGTTTTTGTAGTGGAGGAGTTAATTAATATTGTCCTACACAGCTTGGTTAATTCCTCTTTGGAGTTAAATTTTCACAAATATGTCAACTGTATAAAATGCTTAACAATAACATTCAAAATGGAATTTTTATTTTTAAAAACCATAACCAAATAGTAATATGTCACACTGTTTTTATCAATTCTTTATTTAGGTAACAAGTTGGTTATGTTCACTGCATTGTATGAAACATCACAATATCATACTGGAAAGTACTATCAGTACAGGGTTGGATCAGAGTGGACAGTTTGAACAATAAACCATTTTGCATTCTTCATTCCCTATCTTTAAACAACTCCCCAAGCCCGGTAAGGGACAAATAGCTTTTAACATCATCATGTAAAGCGCTTTAACTTACAAGGCTAAAATCTAAAGAATAAATAAAATATATTGTGGCAATAATTCCTTTTACACCAAAAGTCAGGTGCACAAAAATCAAATGATCAGAAAAGCTGTCTGTATTCAAATGTGCGGCTCTCCAGAAACAGCTTCAGGAAAATGTTACAGAAAATACCATGAATTCCATTTCACACAGGACCAGATGATGACTCGTTTTAACTACACACAAGGGCAAGTACATCCTGCTGAAACACAATTTAAACACATAGGAAAATGTTTTACAAAGCATCCACAACATGAAAACCATGTACAAATGGATACATTCATTACCTCTCCTACCCCAATAACTTCTTTTAGATAAATACTTTACTCTTCATGTTCAGCATTAATTGAATACATGCAAAACTCAGAAGAATTCAAGGTCATTGTAAAAATAGAATTAAACTAATCATCTTCAAGTACCTTATGTGACAGCCACTCTGTACCATGCCCAATGTTATAAAATGAAAGGTTACTGAACTCATGAAAATAACTCTGTAATATTTCCTTAGATCTAAAATAGACTTTAAATGTATTTATAGTAATTTCAATGTGATATTCTGAGCTTTTAAAATAACATAAACGATTAAAAATAATACCAAATTACATAAAACTTGTATTTTAAAAGCTGAAAAAATTATAACTATATAAATCCACATGTAAAACAAAAGAATCACAATTTACATTTTATAAAGGCGAATCTCATCATTTAAAAAATTTTGTAGCAGTGAGATGTCAAAGCAAATTATAAATAGCCATAAATTAATCCATTTGGTTTCAAAAATTTTTCTAGTGAGAGAAAGTTGAAGGGTGTAGTAGATACATGCATAAAAATTTGTAAGGGTTTATAATATTATTGCCAAATACACTTTATCTTGAAGCAAGGCAACATTACAATTTGGACATTATTGGAGAACCCAGTTTGGTAATACAGGTAAAATTGGGAAAAAATTAAATAACAATAATAAATACATATCCTATAGTAAATTGCTCAAATGAAATTCCAAGCCACAGAGCTGCAAAAGGCTTTCAACTTGGTGAACTGAAAAAAGGAACATATCATACAATTCTTTACTCTTACATGCTTATATGTTGTGTTTTGTTTTTAAAAAAAAAAAACCCATAATGTATCTTCAGAGTATAGCTAACTATATTCCCATGCACCTCAGGCGTGTGTGTTGATTTGTGATGAAATAATTCAGCTGTTTTCTAGGGCCAAAAGTTCAATACAGATGAGATGTAACCAGTATGCCTGAGGTTGGCAAAAAATACTGAGTACAGGCAATGCTACGAGTGGCAATTATCAGAAAACACAAATATGAACAAATGATGGGAAATGCTAATGATTTTTCTGCTCGTATCACAAAACGTTGGGAATCCACAAGAATACTTTCCCCTTGTATTGAAGAAAAATGTGATTAAAAGTTTTTTTCCCCCAATTTTCAGAATCAAAAGCATTTTAGAAGGTTTTTAAGGCTACCATGGGTCTTCAAGATCTCCAGCACCCTACAGGAAGAGAAAAGGAAGAATATTATTATTTACCCATGTCACTGCCGGATTGGATTGAATTTCAAAAGATAACAAAATCAGATGAACAAATTACCTTCCTTTCTTTGTCTGAAAAGGTACTTTTACAGAGAGATGTTGTGTACTGTATACTGCGTGTGTACACATGTACTTATCTAATACAGATAGATAAAACTGGGTTGTGTTTCTTTTCTCCCCTCTCCACCAAATGCCTTCCTTTCTCAAAACACTTAAAAATATTCTGGCATTGAAAAAATAGATCAAAACATCAGCTAAAACATGAAGATTCCAAAGTTTCAACCTACACTATCTTAAGCAACTTTAGACACATCATGAATATAAAGAAAAATTAAAGCTCCATAGTCATAAATTATTTGAAAAAAACATTTCCCCATGTGACTAATCTGCAATTTAAAAATCTTTTAACAAAAATAAAACTCACACCTGCCATTCTTTTAAGCATAACCCATAATTCTTGCATTTGTTAATAACTGATGAAAATTTGTAACAAAATTGACAATGTTGCAATCTTTAGAATGTTCATTGTGACAATTTTCTCACATGACTACATGTGCCCATACTGTCCAAAAATTAACATTTTGTACCCATAAAAAGGGGATAGGAAATAAATTTAAGTATGCAAGATTTATGTATTTTTATATTAAACTTTCTTCCTCTTTGTTAATGAAAAAAGCTAAGTCCAAGTGTGCTAAATTGTATATAAATACAAATGAATTTCTAAAACAAATGAATTCCTACTGGGTATTTTTCCAATATACCAAACCTTGTTGTTTAAAAAAATCAATTCAAAAATAAGTACAACATGCATAGATTATTCCACATCACATGCTTTATTTGGACTTAAACACTTATAATTTCATTCTAAACACTTGGTTGACATACATTTTGATGTGTGTAGTTAGGCTATACAGAATATACAAACCAAAGATGTATGAATAATACATAGGCTTTCAGAAATTATGTTTATAAAGAATACAGAGAAAGAAAAAATAACCACACATTCAATATCTCACAACTTCTAAAAATAAAACTACAGAGATGTAAAAATATCAACAAATCAAACAGCACACAAATTATCATCCTTAAAAGAAAAATTACAGGTCAGCATCAGCCATTCTTTGAAGGACTAAAATTGTAAAGAAAACATAAAAGTATTACAATGCTTACTACGAGTGTCCTAATATGTAAAATAATATGAAGCAGTATAATCTACATTAACAAGTTTTTCCACAATATAATGTAAACTCTCTATAATCAGTAATCTCTAAGCGTATCAAGTATGAATTTAACTACTGACTTGAATAACTGGTAGCCTAATTTCTGGCATACAATGTGAAATGACATATAATTTCATTAAATTCAAAGTACTATAAATAGTCCATTTTAAACGATCTCATAAAGGTGTATGCAAAGGCCTTTTTTAAAAAACAAGGCTATCTGAAGATAATAAAACTAGTTTCTCAAGATTCAAATAACAAAACGGTGATATAAATGCAGACATTATACTTCCTAAGTAAAAATCATCAGAGATCACAAAAAGATCACCAAAAAGAAAAGTCATATGTTCTCGCCACTCATCTTTGTCCCTGCATCTTCATTAGAGCTGTCTAATTCAGCAAGACCACTTTCTGATTCAGTATGGCTTTCCTGCATTGGCACTGGGCTTCCAGCATCACTGTGCGAAGAAGGGGCTGAGGCAGCAGGTGCGGCAGGGCTTTCTTCTCCCTCTATTTTAGCTAGCCTGTAACTAGTCAGCATCTCCTCCAGAAGTTGTCGGTAGTTTCCCCTATGATTAATTCTCATTTGCCTGAGCGCTTCCACCAATTTTCCCTGTGATCCACTTTCCTCTGCTTCATCGGAGGCCTTTTTTTAAGATTCAAGACCCCAGTGTCAGTAGACAAACCAGGATATCACACGTATTTCATAACATATTACAGCAAGACACTAATTTCTCTACCATACGTAATATAGTCTAAGAATGAGAACATAAGTATCAATTCTTACCTGTGTGTCCATTAATAAAAACTTACAATTATGTCTCGAAAGTTATTTTTAGCAAATTACCATTAACTAGTGTATGTCTTTATTTCACACTGTCATTTAAAGTTTAATCTGAAATTTATTCAGCTTTTAGAAGTCAACATCAACACAATCATTTCCTAAAGCTGACTTAATTTTTAGAAACAGTAACTGGCTATAATGATTTAGTACAAAAAAATTAGTGTTTAAAGCAGTAGGAAAAGGACAGAAAAGCAGGCCATCAGAACATTAGCTTCTACATCATTTCTGCCAAATAATAAGTTAGGAAGAGATACAAGATATAAAACTATATAAACTAGGCTTTTTAAAAGATTTTAGAATTTTTATGGATACAAAGTTTATTTACTTTTTGTATTTAAATATTTTGAAAAAACATCTCTAGGTAAAAATACACAAATTATTTTAAATATCATAAATTACTGACTAGTAAATTACTCAATCCTTTTATATTTGAGTAAATCCTGGAAAACCTATAGGTTACTACAATAATAACTACTCAATCTTGTTAACAGAACAAGCTCTAGTCATCCAAGCTGATCGATCAGTTAGGCTGATAGACTAAAATCAAGACAGAATTACACTATGTGCCTCCTGATACAATGCCCTATAAAAAGCACAGTCATGTCCTGTATTCTTGTAAAAAATGCTTAAAGTGAATCTAATAAAGCAAATTCCCAGTTTATAGGAAAAGAGGGAATGGAGGATCAACTTAAAGGACACCATGAGAGAACCACCATATGAATCCAGAATGTAGGACATACTATAAAAAACTGGTTCCGACTCTTCAAAGTCAGTGTTTTAAGGGAAAAAAAAAAGGGCAAGGGGCTTGATTAAAGACTTGTTTAATGTGCTTGACTGATTACTTAACCCGACTAGACTGTGGTTCAAAATAACAATTAAAAGAGTTCTGTGGACAACTAGGGAAATTTGAACTCAATATCAGATGACATTATAAATATGTATTATTAACTTTCTTAGGTATGATAATGAAATTATGATTATGTAGAAAAGTGATCTCCTTCTTAAAGAGCTGAATGCTAAAACGTTTAAATTTGGTAAAACATTATGATCTCTGTAATTTGCTTTCAAAAATGTCAGCCCCAAAAAAAGTATATATAAGAAAAATAAAGAAAAATTAAAAAAAAAATAAAGCAACTATGACCAAGTGTTAATTGCTAAATCTTGGTAGAAGACATACTGGTGTTCAACATATTTCCCTTTTTGTCTATGTCTGGAAGTTTTTTCATCACAAAAATGTTGGGAAAATAAAATACAAAATAGGTTACTGATGCAGTAACTGAACAGACCCAAACTCTTAAACATCTTTGGAGTCTATTACCCCATAACTCTGCAACAAAGATAACACTAATAAAACCATATAATAAGCGGCAATGTTTTATTAGAAAGCTGAGAGCACATGATTGCTCTTTTTTTAAAAGTCCCCTCAGGACAAAAAGCAAGAGATGACACTGTGTATAGCCTGTGTTGTTTGGTTATGTATGTCTGTGTATCCCATTCATTTTAGAATATGTAAAATGCCTGTAAAGAAAGGAAATACAGCAATATAATGGTCATGGATAGGGGAGTTCTAAATATTCTATTTTCTTTGAATCTTTAAACTTTCTGCAACAACTGTAACTTTTTTTTTTATTTACAAAATGTATTACTTGGAGACAAGATAATAAAATGTGCTCTCTATTAAGACTTTTCTTATTTTTCTCCCTATACTAATATATATATCTCTCCTTAAGTAAAATTTATCATTTGAATCTATTCAGGAAGGGTTATCATGGAACTATTTGCGATAAGTGTACTGTAATTATAAACCTCCTCAGCCTTTATTCAGGACTTCTAAGAGGAGATTTTCTACTTTATATCACAAAGACCTTTTAATGAAGGGCCCAAGACCCTTTCCCTTAGGAACTGCCCAAACCAAAAAACAAACACACAGAAGGGATCATCAACCCTGGTTTCATATCAGAATCACCTGCGGAGCTTTTAAAATTATACAGATACTAAAGTTCCATTTAAAATACAGATTTAGTGGATCTGGGTTTTTCTTCTAAAGCCTACCAGGTAATTCTGATACACACCCAGGATTAAGACTCTTTGATACAGACTAAACAGTGTAACTCTACTTGGAGCTAACCTTATTAGTAAAGTTGGATCAAAGTTTGTTCTATTTAGGTCAATTTTGGTGAGTTCAACAGATAAATACCTTTCACTCACCAGCTGACACTTAAGTCATCACCTCTACTCCTATGAACTACTATAAGTAGTTGATAGTTGGGGGAGAGTAGTTGCTTTTTAAAAGATACACTAAAACCAAGCCAGTAAATCAAATAGAGATGCATTTACAGTAGCTGGCAATGCAGAGTCACTGAACTGAAAAGAACGTTAGCTAATGATGACACTTGAAAGTCATTTTAATTTATGGCGAACTACATTTTCCCACTGAGCTGGAGAGACAAAAATGGCTGAAACTTCTTCCTCAGCCATTACATTTGATTTTTCAAAATACTATTACATAACTCTCTCCTGGGCTTTATTAATATTAGAAGAGGAACCTATTATCTAGGTTCCTGTACTTTCTTTACTTGAACTTGTACAGTTGATATAGCACACCTATTTTTAAACATCTATTAGAGCAATTAACTCTACCTTGCAAATGTTCACAAGTCTCTGCAATTAGACTTCAAACTCTTTGAGAGTAAAGATAATTTCATTTTCCATTCTACATCTTCCTACCACCTAGGGAAGGGAAATTAATGTTTGTGCTAAGAACTTTACATACATAATTTTACTTAATTCTCAAAGGTACCCTATGAAATAAGTACTGCAACTGTCATTTTTAGAAGTGAGGAAGCTTAGGCTCAGAGAGGTTTAAGTTATTTGCCAGGGTAACGAAGTTACTAAGT